TCTGAGATCACAAGAGGCGCAAGGCCGGGCTCCACCACGAGCTGAAGCAGGCCATTGATGTCGATCTCCGCCATTCCCATTCTGCCATTAACACGCCGCACGAAATGCAGCAGCTTCAACGCAAGCGGATTGAGGGGCATGGCATTGCTCTGCCCAGAGATGCATGTCGGCGGTGAGGCGTGAGTCTCTTCAGGGCGGCTCTCCGGATGCTCACTCGTGTCAGAGGCATGTGTTCTGGGAGGCGATTGATGCTCACTTTCAGGAGCCCCCCACGTTCACAGATGAGGGTGTTGCGTCCCCGTCAGCTTCGGGCACGCGAGGAGGACCATTGACACCGTCGGTGTTGGACGCGTTAGACGCGGTAGGGGAAGCGGATGCAGCGGGAGCGTCTGACAGAATGTCGTGGACGAACAGCAGAGCGTGTAGACCGGCGGACGGTGTAGACGAGGAGGGCCTTGCCACAGCGGAAAGCCCTTGACAAGGGGTCCGCCGTGACTTATGGCCGCCATAAACCTGGGCGTTGGGGAACCATCTGTTGCAGAACTCGCATACTACGCCTGGCAAAGAGCCCATGTATTCTAGATCCGTCTAAGAGTGGTGGAATGTAGTGTGAGGAGACTAGCCAGTTTGAAGCTTGTAAACGCTTTTACTTCACGATCAATGAAGGCTCAGACTCCAGCACGATCATCGCTACAACGTGAAGTGTCCACGGCGGCTTGGATCTCTGCACGCCTGGCACTTGATCGTGGCGCATTAGTGAGAGACTGGTTAATAATGGTCGCGCAGCACGGCCGTGACAAGCCTAGATACAGACCGCCGACAGCACGGTATAGGCCTTCCCTACAAGGCGTGTCGCCCCCTGTTAGAGTGATTACAACGTGAGCAGGGCCTTATGCAGTGGTGTACGGCTAGCTTGGTCGCGGGCGTGCGTGACGAGCACGGTGAGGAGTACGTGCCTCCATATTCAAAACTTCGGTTTTTGAATCGTGTGTGAGAGTCGAGGTGGGAGAGGAAGAGAGGGAAGAGATCTGTTTGGTTTTGTGATTCTTTCGAGAGTCTCTATAGGGGGGAGATCGCGATCACGTAGGTGTGCCCAAAGTGGTGCGCACTCCAAACCAGGTAATACCATTGTACAGTTACATATAACAAATAACTTAATGTCACTCATAACGATTATACGACCATACTTTACGTCATGCTCAATACCTTCCGGCATATTGACAACGACAGTGCTTAGAAACAACACCGTTAGTGTGGTCTGCTGCCATTTGGGAAGCAACACCATTCCACAACCGATTCACCATGTCACGTAAGCCACGGGCCTCAACGCTGCAACGTCGCCGCGTCTGAACAGCGATGTCGATAACGCATAACCGCTCGTACGTTGGACCAGTGCTTCATGCCACACCCTCCATGCACCTTGTCGAGGGCCCATGCAAGAATTGAGCCCAACCCAACACCATTCCACAACGGTTTCACCATGTCCCGCAAGCCATGGGCCTGAACGCTGCAACGTCGCCGCGTCGGAACAGCGATGTCGAGAACGCATCTACGCTTGTGCATTGGGCCTGTGCTTCATACCACTCTCTCTAAGCACCTTGTTGAATTTCTGTGCAAGAATGGATGACAATCCAACGCCAAACCACAACAGATTCACCATGTCGCGCAACACACAGGCCGGAACGTGGCATCGTCGCACTGTCTAAACACTGCTGACGGGAACGCAACTTACGCTTGTGCGTTGGGCCTGTGCTTCATACCACTCTCTCTAAGCACCTTGTTGAATGTCCGTGCAAGAATGGATGACAATCCAACGCCAAACCACAACGGATTCACCATGTCGCGCAACATACAGGCCGGAACGTGGCATCGTCGCATTGTCTAAACACTGCTGACGGGAACGCATCTTACGCTTGTGCGTTGGGCCTGTGCTTCATACCACTCTCTCTAAGCACCTTGTTGAATGTCCGTGCAAGAATGGATGACAATCCAACGCCAAACCACAACGGATTCACCATGTCGCGCAACAGACAGGCCGGAACGTGGTATCGTCGCACTGTCTAAACACTGCTGTCAAGAACGCATCTACGCTTGTGCGGTGGGCCTGTGCTGACAAAAGTTAGAAGAAGAAAGAGGATTGAACTAGCAGGAATGAGGATACAAATAGCAAAACCCTAGAAGGGTTGTACTCGCTATAGAGCACCCCACTACAGGCTAGAACATAAGATAATATTCTGACACACCCCCATAGCCAAAGTGGGGTGTAATCAGCAGAGCAGGCAAAGCAATACAAGCTCTGGGTGGATCACAATGTCACCACACATTCTGAGCACAAGTTCAAGAAGAAATAGTTTAGAGTTAACAATTATAAGCAAAGCTAGTGGTAGTCACAACGGGCAAGTGAGGAGGAGGAGGGAGAGTGAGGGGAGAGGAGATAGGAGGCGACGGCTGAAGCTGCAGACACACGGGCAGCAGGAGGCAGACTGGCACAGCGGCTACCGGACAGCGCCCGGACTACAGGAGTAACAGGCCCCGCGGCTCAAATAGCGGCGGACGGGCAACGGACCCACAGGCGGCTGGCGTAGAAGTCTAGCTCACTGGGCTACCGGGACAGCGCCCCGGACTACAGGTGCTGCTGACGACAAACTGGCAACCTCCGCTCATCCTCCCGCACACAGTCCCACCCCCCTGATACACACCCGCTGCTACACCGCTAGCTCCACTCCCACGTACCCCCCTTAAACCCTAAACCCCAGTCTCCCACACAACCACCCCCCTCAGCGACAGCTGCAGCAGTGGGAGACGAAGGAGGAGGAGGAGCAAAAGGAGGAAAGCACACCGGCCACCCCCATACCCGCCACCCCACAGCAAGCGGCCCCCTCAGGTCGCCTCGACGGACGACGGGAAATGGCAGGGGGAAGGGGGGGGGGGGGGGGGGGGGGCGGTGTGGTGAAAGGGGCCCACCACGGGCCTGGTTGGAGGGCGGAGCCGCGACAAGGGGCGGGACCGCGACGGTCGGGGCGGGGCCGCGACGAGGGGCGGGGCCGCGACGTAGGGCGGGGCCGCTTCGAGGGGCGGGGCCGCGACGCAGGGCGGGGCCGCGACGTAGGGCGGGGCCGTGTCGAGGGGCGGGGCCGCGACGGTCGGGGCGGGGCCGTGACATAGGGCGGGGCCGCTTCGAGGGGCGGGGCCGCGACGCAGGGCGGGGCCGCGACGTAGGGCGGGGCCGCGTCGAGGGGCGGGGCCGCGACGGTCGGGGCCGCTTCGAGGGGCTGGGCCGCGACGCAGGGCGGGGCCGCAACGTAGGGCAGAAGCCCGCCGCGCACCTCGGGGCGCACAGCGGGCAAAGAACCGCCGCGCGCCTCGGGGCGCACGGCGGGCAGAAAACCGCCGCGCGCCTCGGGGCGCACGGCGGGAGGAAAAAGTAGCAGCGGAAGCGAGGTGGTAACCCACCCACAGGATCGATCCAAGGGGATCGACCTGCTCTGATAGCATGACAAAAGTTAGAAGAAGAAAGAGGATTGAACTAGCAGGAATGAGGATACAAATAGCAAAACCCTAGAAGGGTTGTACTCGCTATAGAGCACCCCACTACAGGCTAGAACATAAGATAATATTCTGACATGTGCTTCAAACCACACTCTCTAAGCACCTTGTTGAGTGTCCATGCAAGAATGGATGACAATCCAACACCATACAACTACTTTTTCTTGTCTGTTACTATTCGTCAACACATTCGTTTGTTACACTTTGTGTGTGTGACATGAGACAAACCCACTACCGGCGGCAACCCCATATTAAACCAAGAGCATCAAAGTTTTGGATGTTTTTTTATTGTTGTATTTTTTGAAATTTATTCCGCGTACATGTTCAACACTGTGCGTTCACGAGATCACTGTACTTTGCAGGGATAAGGTTACATTCGCACTTGAGGTTCTAAAACTGTCATACTATGCGTAGAGATTGATGCGTTGGCAACCGTGGTTGGCCAATGCATCTCAAACGAGTCCCCACACAACACAAGCACCAGCCAAGAGGTACTTCCGCCATTGAGCGGATGAGATCGAGCGGTAGGCGGGTTTATGCACGGGTGGCTACACGTACACCGTCCGATATAGCCTGATAGGGTTACAGTAATCTCTATAGTCTCGCAACCCACCCCAACCACCCTCGTGCCCCACACACCTGCTCCCGTCACCCTCTATGCCAACACTTAGACACTGCTCTCTGTTTGACAAGCGCGTTTCCAGATCGCCCGTGACTCACCAATATACTAAGTCACGGGCCGTAGCTTTGTGATGAGTGGCTACTATTTCAGGTTTAGTGATAGCAGTGATTTTCGGAGAAACATAACAGTGATAGGCCATCGTTAAACACTTCGTGATATTCATTTGCTGCGGCCCTTCAAAACAGGCTAACCCGTTTTGTGCGATAGACCTTGGCATTCCTACGGCAACCATGATACGTGCCACACGTCAACAAGCAATGGAGGAGGAACAGGCCGGACGCCGAGCGACAAGGACGATCTCTAAACGGACTGATAGGGAGGGTGGCGGCGGCGCTAAGAAAACTAATGCGTCCGTTGCGCGTGGCACTGGGGTGAATAAAGTGGCGGCAAAGAAGGTCGCGCGGGATCAAGAGAAGTCCGGCAGGAAGGCGGTAGACAACGGGAAGCAACCAAGGCCACGCAAGCGTGTTTCTACAGTGAACAAAGATGCAGATGTTGCCTCAACTGGAACCACGCCCGGTCCGACTAACGACGGCACCAGTGGCGGCAACGAACATCCGGGGTGAGGGAGCGCAAGTCTTGCAGTCCCGTCGGCGGAGAGAGAGGGATCGGCGACAGGGGGAACCACGGAGGCGATCCACGCGCCGAGCATACCGCAACCAAGGAGTCCGAGGCGGAGGCATCTCAACACCATCTGACGCTGCTCCAGCCGACCGTGGTCGAAATTTCTGCTGCCGTGCTGGATAAGGACAAGGTGGGGGAGCACGAGTCGATGGAGGATCCTAGCCACGGCATAGCTGACGTCGGTGGCTCTCCTCCTTCTGGTGGACGGGGGAGACGTAGGCAGAGGAAGAGCGATGAGGAGGACGATTCTGACACCGCCGTGCCCGGGGACATCACCACGCGGGCGAAGAGGCGGCAGACGACAGGCAGTGCCGACGACGCTGGTGGCGCGGAAGTTGGGAGAACGCGAGGTGCCAGTGAAGCTAGTGGCAAAGCGACGGGTCATGCATTGCGCCAAAAGGGCCGACCCGCAGCAAGAAAAACATCCGGCGGAAGGAGGGGCAAGAAACGGGGTCGTGAAGACCCTGGTGAGGCCGAGGAGGAGGATGCGCAGGAAGAGGAGGATGAAGAGGATGCGGAGGAGGATGACGCGGATGTTGGGGAGGATGAAAAAGATGAGAATGATGGCGGGGAGGACGAAGAGGAGGAGGAGAAGGAGGAGGACGATGAGGAGGAGGATGAGGAGGAGGAGGAGGAGGAGGAGGAGGAGGAGGATGATGAGGAGGAGGAGGAGGAGGAGGAGGAGGAGGAGGAGGAGGAGGAGGAGGAGGAGGAGGAGGAGGAGGAAGAGCAGGGGGACGATAAGGAGGAGGATGAACAGGAGGAGGAGGAGGAGGAGGAGGAGGCAGAGGAGGAGGAGGAGGAAGAGGGGGAGGAGGAGGAGGACGTGGCGGCAGTGAAGGGACGGGGCGGGCGTGGCAGACGGAAGAGTGGTATGGGGAAGGTGGGGGGCCGGACTCGCCATTCCCGAAAACGCGGGGCAGTTGACGCCGCGCGCGGCGTAGCAGCTGGCAGAGCGAAGGCGTGTAAGGTGAAGGTCGAAAGTGAAGGGGGTGGTAAAAAGCAAGGGCGCCAGGGAGCAAAAGGGGATGGAGGAGGTAAGGGTGGCGGCGCCAAAGGGGTTCCATTGGGTACTGGCAAGAAAGAACCTGCCGGTAAAAGTCGCAGCGGCCGTCAAAGCACCCCGCGGAAAGGTGGCAACGAGAAGGCGCTGGCCCCAAAAAATCCGAAGGGACAGTAGAAAGGTGAGCACCCTGGCCAATAGACCGGGCGTGGTTGTTGCACTCTTTGCGCAACCGTGCCAAATAACACCATTCTACACGTTGTTTCTCCCCTGCAGGGAAGGAGAAGGACGACGAATCTACAAAGAAAGGTAAAGTCTCCTGTCTCAAAACAGTACACGGCTAAGCCCGATTTAGATTCAAACCATTGATTTTATGCATGACTGTCTGGCCCTGTATTGATACCGATCGACTTTAATTTCTTGATCCTACTCCCTCTAAATCTCAGCCCCTCGCGTTACAGGCATTGGGCCACCGGTAAGCGTGCAACGGATGCAGCTAATGAAGGGGGCCGGAAGAGCAAGTGTGACGCCGCTATCCACAGGAGCCCCAAGGTTCTTCACGCCGTACTCCGGCCCAAGCAAAGTCGCTGCGACGGCTCCCGGTGCGCCAAGAGGAGAGGAATCTGAATGACCTCCACCAGGCCCCGTCACGCACTCCCCACTCGCCTCACCCTCATACCCATTTCGGCCGCTATATGCTTCTCCTGTCCGGGGCAGGGCGGTCCCACCCCTCGCTGGTCCTTCGCGCGGGCATCAGCCAAGCACTTCTGCCAATCCCTTCCCTGAGCTCCCCTTTTCCCGCCAGTGTGATAGTGTGAGGGCACACAGGACTGCTGAAGAAGATGCTGAAGCCCTTGGCCAGAGGGGGGATTCTTCACACCCTTTTCCACCGCTCATGGGTGCCCTAGGTGAAAGTGTGGAGCACGAGCAGTTTGTTACATGGGAGGAGTTCCAGGCGCTGCGGTCTGAGATGTACGCCATGTTTGCATAGCTCGGCCTGCATCGTGGAGTACCTGCCAGTTATGCCGGGGGTTTCGCAGCCGCGCCTATGGCTGGTACCCCGCCGCCGATGAGTGCCGTGGACAAGGCACGAGTGCTAGTGTTGCAGGAGACAAACCCATTCCCGGTATGTGGCGGGCCAAATGGGGCAGGTTGGGGCTGACGTGGGGGCTTGGAAGGGTACACGGGAGCGGCACGTGACGAGGTGACGCGTGTTAGGTGGGTGGGGTGACGTGGCATGGGGTGGGTGGGTGGGTGGGTGTGATGTGGCACGTGGGGCTGGTTGTTCCCTGACGTGGCGGATGGAGGACGGTGTGACGTGGCGAGATGTGAGGCTTGGGGCTGACGTGGCGGCTTGGACGGGTACACGGGAGCGGCGCGTGACGAGGTGACGCGTGTTAGGTGGGTGGGGTGACGTGGCATGGGGTGGGTGGGTGGGTGTGATGTGGCACGTAGGGCTGGTTGTTCCCTGACGTGGCGGATGGAGGAGGGTGTGACGTGGCGGGATGTGAGGCTTGGGGCGGACGTGGCGGCTTGGACGGGAACACGCGAGCGGCGCGTGACGTGGTGACGCGTGTCAAGTGGGTGGGGGGTGACGTGGCATGGGGTGGGTGGGTGGGTGTGATGTGGCACGTGGGGCTGGTTGTTCCCTGACGTGGCGGATGGAGGAGGGTGTGACGTGGCGGGATGTGAGGCTTGGGGCGGACGTGGCGGCTTGGACGGGTACACGCGAGCGGCGCGTGACGTGGTGACGCGTGTCAGGTGGGTGGGGGGTGACGTGGCATGGGGTGGGTGGGTGGGTGTGATGTGGCACGTGGGGCTGGTTGTTCCCTGACGTGGCGGATGGAGGAGGGTGTGACGTGGCGGGATGTGAGGCTTGGGGCGGACGTGGCGGCTTGGACGGGTACACGCGAGCGGCGCGTGACGTGGTGACACGTGTCAGGTGGGTGGGGGGTGACGTGACATGGGGTGGGTGGGTGTGACGTGGCACGTGGGGCTGGTTGTTCCCTGGCGTGGCGGATGGAGGAGGGTGTGACGTGGCGGGATGTGAGGCTTGGGGCTGACGTGGCGGCTTGGAAGGTTACACGGGAGCGGCGCGTGACGAGGTGACGCGTATCAGGTGGGTATGGGGTGACGTGGCATGGGGTGGGTGGATGTGACGTGGCAAGTGGGGCTGGTTGCTGGTGGATGTGGCGGATGGAGGAGGGTGTGACGTGGAAAGTTCACACAGTCCATCCTGTGGTCACGCGGCCACAGTCATAACTGATGGTTTCTCTCTCCCCATGTTGTGTTGTAAACCCCACACCCCTGCGCAGAACAAGGCCTACTTAGTGTGCTCTCAGCTCCTGTTTTTGAACCCCTCAGAAAAAATCCAGTACTACCCTGCACCGGAGGAAGTGTTCGAGGCGTTCGCTGTCCACTTGTCTGCCGAAGGGCTCGAGTCAATGAAGCTGCTGTGGTTGCACAACGACAAGTCAACCATGGGTGTCTTCAACCACCAGATGTCGTCAACCAGGTCAACAATCAACAGCACCCTCAGGCCAGCAACGTACGCCGGCATGGGCCTCTCCGATTACGCCCATCTCGTGGATACCCTGCCCACTGAGCTACACCCAAAGAAGTGGTTCAACCACGAGGATCTCCTGGTCGAGTACAGAGATGGTATGTGCAACTCGAACACACCATATCCCCCTGCCCATATGCCAGGTGGCAGCTACAAATAACCGTGCGGTGTCCCTCACCCTGACTCTCACCCAGCCACTTGATTTCTATGCACCCCCTTTCCAACCCGTACGCTCCCTCCCAAAATGCAGAACAGTGGGCCCTCAACTGGCACTTTGACAAGGCCACCGGAACGCCCTTCAGCAACCCTTTGTTTGCTTATGCGTTCAAGCTCTCCTTCAAGAGGGGCGGGGTCGTGTTCAACAAGTTCAAGAGCCGCATGGTGGCATGGGGCCTGTTTTCGGTAAGGATGTAGATATGTGTCTGTACACCCATGCCTCATGTCTCGGGAGATATGGGTTGCCTGTACTTCATCTAAATCCCTGGTCGCTTAGGCATTCGCGGTTATGTAGGGTGTGTTGTCTTCACCGCTTTCAGTTGGCCCATATACCCGTAACCCCCCCCCCATACTCCATCCACCCAACCCTACACCACATTGCAGATCGAGTGGCCCCTTCTGCAGGATAAGCGTCGCAAGCGAATTCCGGCCCAGCCAGAACAAAACAGGCCGGACTACTTCGAGTGGTGTGACAAGGTCAAACAGATGATACACTTTGCCGTCGTGGAGCGGCGGATCCCACACGATCCGGCTCAGGGTGCGTTCGTCTTCCCGAACAAGTTCCTCATCGACGATGGCGACCTTGGAGATGTCATTCTTGCCCACCGGGCGATTGCAGGGCCCAGCACTGCGTAGGCTATTTGACCTGGTGCTAAAACTGCTGGTTGTTAGAATGTTGAATAATAGTTGTTTACCAAAATATTGAATGTAATTCTGAAATCCTCAATACCCAAAATAAAACAAAACCAAAATCCAGTTTATAATATTTTAGTACCGAAATTGCACCAGAACGGATTGCGTCGGAATGTCATCCGGAAAAGCTCGCGTGCCAATTTGAATCTTGACCCGAGCCAAACCTTGTCGCGAGATGTGTGTCGGAGCTCCTATCAAATGATTCCAACCGTCGGTCGAAATTGGGTCCGGACTTTTTTACGCGAAGACAACCCCAATCAAAATTCATCCAAACTTGGCATAGGGTTTTTGTGATGAACATCAGAAGGCATGGCAACGCAGAAGGAGAGAAGTTCCTCTAACGGCTCTCCCGGTACTACTCCTACTCCGCCTCCTGCCTCTGGCCTGCAGACGGATGAGAGCACAGCAACAAGACCAGCAGCTGGGTCTACCAAAACTCCCGCAATTCAAGCCGCAGGCTTTGACCCAGACATGATGGAGAAGTTCTTCTCCTTCATGCCCTTCTACGAACAACACCAGCAAAAGGCACCTACGCACTCAAACAATAGAAACAACAACAACGTGACACCAATGAGCCTCGACGGTTCATCCTACGCGCGAGGAAATCAGCAACAATAACCTACCTTTGCCCCGTACAAACCTCAGCGCGGTTCCGTCAGCTTCATGCCGCGCCAGCAGCCTTCACATGAGCAAGAAAAGACATTGGATGCTCTTCAAATTCAGTCGCAGTTTGCGCACGTCTTAAAACTGCAGACATTAAGACCGTTCGGCAGAAAAGACTTCTTTACCTGGTCGTTCGAATTCGAGCTGATGATGGAAGGCGCGTAGATTCTTGGCTTCTTCGACGGGTCTCTGCCATATCCAACGCACGGGACGCAATACGACAAGCAGTAGTACACATATCAGTCCATGATGGCGTGCACAATCCTACTACGCAACGTCACACCGAACCAGCAGCAGAACATTCGGTCTTACCGGGGATACGGGAACTGCGCCGAGCTCGCGTACAACCACTTGAAGAACCTGTATCAGGCAACAGACAGCGTTAACCAGAGTCGGTTAATGGCACAACTGACAACAGTGGTAATGAAACCGGGTGAAAAGGGGATGGCGTATATCAGCCGTTGTCGCGAACTGCGCGACAAACTCCTTCGATGCGGAGGGTCAATATCGGAAGACGCCTTCGTCACAATCATCATTGGCGGTCTTGGTCCTAATTGGCGCTCCACTCGCGCCATACTCCGAGCTCCGGGAAGATCTCCGAAGCAGCACTCTGTGCTGAAATCTACGCTGAGCAGCAAGACATGGACCTGCAAGAGGAGCGGCACAAGAAGAAAACGTCAGTACCCGAATTTGTGTTTCACACTCAATGACGCTACAACAACAACAACAACAACAACAACAACAACAACACCCGACATCAACCAAAACCCATACCTCCGTTTTGTCATCTCTGCAAGACTTCTGGCGTCCACACAAGCGCACCCCACGAGTCAACTGCAGCCCTCAACGACATCGTCAACACATTATGCACAAGGAGCAAGAAACATCGTCAGCTGCATGGCAAAATTGACTGACTCCTGCATCACCAAGTCACCACCACACTCACTGGAAGAGCAACTTGACAACAGTACCCCTCGTCGCGAGTCACTTCAACCGAGCCCGACGTATGCAGCCATCGCTCAAAGCGAGCCGTCCGGGATAGACACTTGGTTCTTGGACAGTTGTTGCGGACAGCATATGTGCTCTTCGGGTCGTTTCGTTCAACGAGAATATCAACTTCAACGCGACGTTGTCATCACCGTCGCCAACAATCAGAATCTGCGCACACGACGACAAGGCGTAGTGCAACTTCAGTCACGAGAGACAAACGTCATACTGCAAATGTCAAAGGTTTTGATTGCGGAGGGACTCGGCTACAACTTACTAAGTGTCAGTCAGCTGATGGCGAAAGATATCCACCTTGAAGGAGACAGCACAACACAGGAGTTCAAGCTGTACCACGGGAGAAAAGGCCTCTACATCGGCAAGGCCGTGCTGAAGAACAACGTGTTCATCCTTGACTTCGTTCCAGATCTAGGCACCACCGACAGCGACGGAATCGTCACCTTCACCTCCTGGACGCACCCACCGGATCTCGATCCTGACTTCAGCCCCGAAGGTTTCTGGTATTCGCACAACATCCCTGCCGTAGAATTACCAAGAGCATTAGCAACAATTCAATCATCGGCAGCAGCAGAGACAACATCGGCAGCAGTAGAGACAACATCGGCAGCAGCAGAGACAACATCAGCAGCAGCAGGGACAACATCGGCACCAGCAGAGACAACATCGGCAGCAGCAGAGACAACATTGGCAGTAGCAGAGACAACATCGGCAGCAGCAGAGACAACATCGGCAGCAGCAGAGACAGCATCGGCACCAATCGCGGGTCCT